TATGTCTCAATATTACAAAATAAAGCTGGAATTATGAAAGCGAAAGAGCAAAATCTCTGATGAATTTGGGGTTGTATTTATTTGTAGTGTCAAGTGGCAGGATTTCAGAGAAGAAATATTTTGAGAAACGCAATTGAATTAATGTTTAAATCAATGCAAAATATGCAAATTCAGTCATTTGAAATGGCACCATCTGTCACCATGACAACGCTAGACCACACGTCGCCCATCAGACACCACAAAAACGAAGGTGAAATAAGAAGTCATTCGTCCATCGCCCAACGCATTTCTTTGACCTTGACTCGTCCCAGGTCCTCATCTGCTTAGCTCAACACAAAAAATTATATTTTGATGAAAGAATTCAATAATATCTTTTGAATCTCATTGCTGTAAAACCACTCAATCATCAGAAGTGATGATGTGTTTATGGTCGCTCAAAGAAATACATTTCAGCAGAAAAAAAATTAGTTGTAGTCAAAATGATTTAAATTGAACACAAAACTGTGTAATCATCTAATATCAGTAGCGTTTCTCTTATTTGGCTTTTGGCTTGAGTACACATGAGTTTTCCTTACGAGTATGCCAATCACAACTTGACATGTTAATTAAATATGATGGTTTTATGGCGGATTGAGTCGGCATCATGTGGCCTTAAATATACATTCCGCGTTGTTAGATTAATAACTCGTTCTCATTGGACAATTATTTAAGGAACCTTCTGGAAATGTCCAAGTTTCCGACTCTGAACTTACATAAAAAAACTTAGACTAGCAGAATTAGATTAAAACAAGAAGTTTCTAAGCTTCAAGGGGCGTTGCTTGTCGGCTTGTTTTTAGAATTTCAAAAACCAAAAAACAAACCACACCAAAAGACTTTGTTTGATTTGACAAAGCAATCTCTTTGATTTATCCTGTAACATCAAAAATTTAGCCACCAGACTAAATAACTTCAAAGATGCCGTTTAAACACACCTGATTGTCCGTTCAACTCTGAAGGCGAGGATACATCGCAGTTAACCTTGGACTCCTACTAAGGGTACAACCACAACTGACTAATTCCTGATTGGTCTCTTTCTGGCACCAGCGGTTGTTGGTCAACCTCCTCTTGACCCAAAGGGTGCAATTTTAAATAAAGGTGTTATTTTGTGCGAGAATATGTCCTGAAATATTCGCACATATAAAAAAAACAGAGATATTCAAAAATCGAACATTTTTGGCATTCCTTTACTTTGCTACATAACACGTCAACAAATTCTCATAAAGGTTTATGCTGAAACTTAAATCTCTATGAATTCTGGTTACATCAAAAGACGATTTATTGCCCGCTGGTGCTTAAAACGATGTTTTCAAATAAAATGCGCAAATGCTTTGCCAGATATTCAAATTCGTGTGCGTTTGCTTGGTCTTCAGACAGATGTGAAATTTTATTGCACTCCTTTGAGGTCCGAGTTTTCAACATCTTAATCCATGCACAGGAAATTGCTGGCGATTACATACTAAGTTCTCTTCACCACAGTCCCATGTTGCAATTTGGTCGACCTTGAACACAAATGATTTCATGTCAATATTGGCAAATCAAACTAAAACTTGAGTTCAGTGTTAATCGTTATGTAAAAGGGTATCAGTTTGAATATAGACAGAATTCCCTACAAGATGTGTAGAAAATATCCAATAATCGATTTCAAGAATTGATTGAATTGACAACCGCTCCAGTCATGTAAACACGTCCTCCAATCATCTTAACTACATCTCATTTTGGCGTGCAAATAGCCAATAAAATCACTCGGTGCCAAAACAAGTTGAATGCAAGTCAACTGTTTCAATGATCGATGCAAGTACGTGTTCAAAAAATGCTGATAGACAGGTAGACTCAGTCCACGCAACAAGTGTAGCTTTTTTTGGATTTGATGCTTTTCCAGATCTTGATTCTCAGAGGCACACACGGAGCGGCTGTTGAAACAACAGTAAGAAGAATTGAATTAAATCACAGCTTCAGAGATTGGTTCACACTATCCAACGATGTTGTTAAAAACTGACCAAGTGGCAACGTGGGCATACTGCTAGACGAAGGCGAATGTCTGGGGTCTTTCATCAGAAAGTGCCAAGGTCAGCGTCATGCAGTTGTTACCTTCTGTGTGCAACTTGCTTTAAAATAAGTGGTGTCGTCGCAGCCATCGTATTTGACTTATCAGGTGCCATGAATAGAATAGAAAAGACTGGTTTACTAACGCAGAATTCGTTTCTAAGAGCGGCTTCCCAACTAGAGAGCCCAAATGCCAAACTGTTTTCCCCTTGGAAATTAGGCATAATCTGGTGATTAATATCCAAAACTTGTTGCTTGCGGGAATTCCAACACATTTTATGCCGAAATATTTTACAGTGCTAGTTCAATAAGGGAGTTTCGTGGGAAATGAAGTTAGCTGGTCAGAAATCAGTTTCATTTTGATAAAATATCGGGCTATTCTGGTTATGAAAACCAAAACATTGAAAGGACATATGTGAAATTATGTATAACTAACCTGCAATAAATACTTGGTTGTTGCCGACTACTAAAATAAGTAAGTCCTACAGTATCTAAACTAAGTATATGCGTACGAAACTGCCAAAAAATGTAACACTTGAATGTCCTCTGTCCTTAGATACGAAATAAAATTTATTCTCAAATCACAGTCATCAAATGCATTAAATACATGTAAGATCTGCTTCGTATCATCGCACGAAAACCAAACAATCCTGAAAATTGCGTGCTGCTGTTTTAATGAATTTGCACTAGACTAGAGGATAATTTGCGTGCATAGTCTGTTGTGAGTCGTGTTTATTCATACTCCTTAATTCGGTGGCGCCATCCTCCGACACAGGGTTCCCCTTCTCGCAGCATGTCGCCAGCTTCGCGAATCCTTAACTCCCCCCTAATTCGCCCGAACATTTACCCTGGTCATCCTCACACCTAGGTCTCGATGTTAGCGCATCTATGACTCCCTTATTTGAGGTATAAATACACACTCGCAAACCCCACACACGACACAACGACACCAACGTCGTGGAGCTCTGAAGTAAACGGTTATGTCCACGGTCTTTTCTTCATCGCGGTTATCAGGGAAGCGTAATCAGGCCAGGGTTAGTTCAGTGGCCCCGGCGTGCTCAAGACCACATACTGGGTTCGCAGCAAGTCTATTTGCATCGCAACAAAACTTCTCGCTGGCAGGAATCACGGAGTGTTGAGTTTAAGATTACCTTGAATAACAAACTTTATTTCGACATAAGTTAAGCCCCATTTTCATGCTAACTTCACGTTTCCCAAATAAGCAGGTAGATTTGACTTATTTTAGGAAATCGGCAGGAAGGTTAACGCTGAAATAATTGCAAAATGGGAAATGAATATTGGCTAGTTTGCCTACTTTAATGAGCGAACCAATCGCGTAGAGCCTTAGCGCGTTGACCTTGTGGCGTGCAGCCTAACAAACCCGAAAGTTAGTAGAAAATTTATATCAAATAAACGGCAGCCCCGGTTGCGCCACGATGGTTCCAGCATCGGTGATTTTATTTCTGGGTACGTCAGAGGCTTTCCCTTTTGCTCTAATTCATTCGGTGATCTTAAAGTGAACTAAATATGTGCGAAGTTTGTGTCAGATGACGCGGCGTTAGTGTTAGCATGTCGCAATAGCTACAGAAACAAGCATTTTGTTTAAGTTTTCAAGACTAACAGTCACAATGAAACGAGTTCACCAGGACTATAATTCGTAATTAAGTAATTCTTTGTTAGAAATAACTTTTTATTCTGCCAATAAACTGCGTCGGAATCCGACTTTCAATGCTTTTAGTTTTGAGACGTCTTTAAAAAGGAAGTGATGTTTAGGCGCTCGTCCTTTCAATGGAGAATTCGCACAGTGGATTAGACTAAAATTAAACAAATTTTCGACTGCGGACTGGCCTTGGCATGGACAATAGCGGTAGACGTTCATGCGATATGATCCTCGAAAATTCAACAGACCCGCCTAGTGCTGATTGGTCGTGAACGCTGGCAGCAGTTGGCGCAGGCCCAAGCCCGATCCCAGGGTTTTTTCTTATTCAGTTGGCTGTTAGTCAGCAAGTAATTTGCACCTGAAAAGTGGCACCGTTAATTTAAACTACAGAAAATATTTCTCCCATGATCGTCCACGTGGCTCACCAGCTAGTTCGGAAGATTGTGCTGCGAAAATGAACAAATTGTTTTTTTTTAAACTTTCAGAAACTTTGATCCTCTGCCTGTGCGTTCACGGCAAAATGATGTAAGTAACTTTAGAATCATTTTCAGTTACGCAAATTCAGACTTTAAATAATCAACTTGCGCGTACGCTGTTTGTGAAAACACGCATTTATGCACTTTGGGTGCAGGCAGAAAACATTTCGCTGGATTCGTCGCATTCGTCTTAGCCAGACTGTTTGCTAACTTCCGCACCATGTAAATGATTCCAACTAGACAAATCCAGCAATAAATTTAAACAAATTCAAGGTGGATGTGCAGTGTCAGTCCGAACGGCTTTCCACGCCAGTTAGGTAATCGCAGCTTCCCAATCCGCCAACCAAACCACTATCGACGTGTTTGGGGTCAAGTGGCGGACGCCGCGAATCTCTTGACCACTAATGTGTGTTTTAGTGCTTTTCCAAGGTCAAAGTTGTTGTTGTTTGCAAGCCCGCAAGCTCTTCGGCGCTGGTGATGTAAAACATGTTTGCAATTTAAGGGAATAGCCGAGGCGTGTGAGTCATTTCCGTTGACAGAAACCAAAGTTGTTGGTCACGTCGTCTGGTCAAAGAGACATTCACATCTTCGCTGCACCATCAACCCTATCAATTATGTCCCCTTAAAATTGCAAAATGTAGCTTTCGCCAGTAAATGAAACTGTATTGCTCTTTCTGATTAAATCTCTGACAGCACCATCTTGGTTCTGCTGCCTTTGCAGAGTCCACAGAAGCTCTCTATGTGATACTAGGAACCCCCACAGAATGCTGTGCACCTTCAAAATGGACCCAGATGACTACGTCAACATCACGTACTCCCTCGGCTTTGCCATTGAAGTAAGCCTTTGGATGCGTTAGACCTTTCTGCGATGCTATACTTGCCGTTTTTTTTCTCTCACCCTAATAAGCCAAGTCTTCTGAATTTACGCTTCTTGGGAGGTCAGCCGGATAGATGCCGGTGACGTTTGCATGGATACCAATGAACACCATGTCGTGATATTGGCATTGTTTCAGATAAGTTATATGCAGTCGGAAATGATTCCAGGAAAGGAAACAACGTGAAACTTCAAGATTGACAATAAAGTTTAAGGTTTTGCTGGAATGTTAAGTCCTTAATTTTGTTCTGATGTAAAGTACTCGAAATAATAGCAGGACGAATCAATCGCGGCTGTGTGAAAATAGTTTCTTTTGAAAAGGTTGCTAACGAAAAGCTGGGCAAAGTAGGTTGATCTGTGTGTTTTTTCTCTAGAAATGTAAGAGTACATCAAAGGCATCCACTAGTTTTCAGAAAATGTACCTCCTTAACGCATCGTGCGCAAATTACCTCTGCAGATAAATGCCAGAGTACAAATTAAGTCTCCATTCCAACGAAGATTAGGTGATAGCCCCCAATCAAACACATGAATATTTAGCGTGAACTTTTTTCCTAATAGAGGAATGCCCCCAAGTGTAATTTTGGGAATCCCTAAGTACAAAAATCAAATGCACTTTTGATCTCTTTAAGAAATTGCTTGTACCATTGATCAATGGTAGGTCTATAGTAGTGGCAACTGATTTTAAAGTGTTTCAACTGGAACTCTATAAAAACTTGTTGAACATCTGTAATTTTGCTGGTTAGGTGTATGTTATTAGAATTTGGACAAATCTGTTGATCGATAGTTGACAATCTTCTTATCCCATTCACTCAGAACTCTTTTATGCCTCACGAGATCTCCATGTCTCTAAACCAAGTCACTTTTACCAAACAAATACGATGCCGAAGTTAACATACCACATAAATATCCAAGTACATACTTAGTCTTCTTTGAAAACATTGTCCTCGGAAAATATCTTGAAAATTTACGACAAAAATGGCCAGCGCCTCGTTTGCTGGAACATAATTGACCTTTTTTAAGTCATGCGTACTGTTTCCGAAACCTGGGTTTGTTTATTTTGACGATCAGATCTTGGGGAAGTGGAAACAAGCAGCCCGGCGGGCAGTCATTTCGCCGAACTTGTTCAAAATCTGTCAAGCAATTTGGCAATAATGATTAGACTGCGCAGGGGAACGCTGATTGTCAGTAAATACACGTTTTATGAGGTTGTGGAAAAATCTACTTTAAAAGATGTTGTCTGGTCTGCTGACTTGGTTTGTGCTTTCGGAATTTTGAGTGAACTTTTGATAGAATTGAAAGGCGATCTTTTTAGTAGCATCGCCAAAAATTCTCATTTGTGAGGTTGTTAGCCGTGATTGCGGCCATAACCATTTATACACGTGGACGACGTCTACCCAACTGTTGGAGCACCAAACCCAATCCATCCATGCCCATTTTTTAACCACTAGCTACTACTTGTGGTGGATAGTTCTGTGCTATTTCTAACCGCGCAATCGTATTAGTGCATTCTTTTTTAAATAAAAATTGTTTGATTTCGTACACTCTTATTTAGCCCTGGGTTATAGCTCTTATTTGTTGAATGCCGCGTTTTCTAGAAAAAAACATTGGAGGAATTACAAGAAATTAGTTTGATTTACTGACTTCTGTTCTTTTTTGCTAAGACAAAATCCTTGCTAATGTCCACCATGTCGAAATCAAAATTAGCCAAAACTGGCTAATTTTCGATTTCATTTTCATGATTAACCTTGCTTTCTATAGTTCTCACTAGATGCAATGAAAAGCTTCAAACGTTCCCTCTAGAAACCCAAACTAGCCTCATTTACTATCCCGAGAACGTGTAATTTTGCTTATACTCGTCATTTTCAGTAAAAAAATTACATATTATATATGCAGTAGATGATTGTTTGAGCTTTCGATCTATGCTCTCTCATAAATTTCTACAAAATGATGATTTTAGCATTCCAAAGTAGCCAACCTAGCCACAGATTTTGACCATCCACTAAGGGTGATAGTCTAAACCTCGTATATGTACCCTATCCACCACCTAATTGAGCTTATTTGAAGGTGATGATTCAGCGCCAGAAAAGCGTTGAAAGGAATTCCTCCTTTTCACAAATAAGATCCGATGTTGCCTATACACTTCAGACTAGGACATGACAAGAATCTAATGGACACACCTGGCCAAGTCTGTGAATTCCGTATCTGCCAGATCTGACAATTGCCTAGGTCCATCTGTAATGACCAGTCACGTTTGTGCTATTAAAAGTGCGTTAAATTTGCTTAATGGTGGGTGCAAAGAAGGTCTTATTTTATGACCCCTATCGGCGCACTTTAATGTTTACGGGTTTTCTGATTAATTGCCCTCGCAATTTTTTTTCACTTAAGGAAACAATAATTCAGAAATTGTTTATTTTATGCACAACCCTGTTCTTGGTTGAATTCTGACCTTTATGAAAGGCTTAAAATGATTATTTTGTTTTGACTTCGAGAATCTTCCAGAATAATATTGCCCAGGAGTTTTGATTCGTTATCGCTAATTTTTTTCTAATTGGTTGCACACTTTCAACTTTACACAAGGTGTAGAAATGTCATGAGACATTTAGAGAATTAATTTTGGATTTGTATTTACATTTAAAAAGATAAATGATAAATAATTAGCGTTAAATTCCGCATACATTGGTAAAATGCTTCAGTTTAAAATCGTAGAGGGCAAATTAAGCTGGTGGTTTCAAGGCAGTTATTGTCTTATCTGGTATGACAATCACGATGTGAGCCTTTCCATGCGTGTCTGACATGAGTGCTTTTTCCGGTTATAGCAAACAATTCCAGAAATTCGATCACGCTGCAACGCGTCGTTTGAGTTTTGCGCCAAAGAAACGGGTAAGAACTCTTCCTTTTACTTATTTGTGGATCATATCGCTGGTAGCTGCTTGCTGCTGCTTGAATTATGTAACTTTTAAATGAATCGGAAATATTTTTTGTAAAAAAGTAATGGAAGTTCAATCATCTCACGTTCGATTCACAAAGATTACAGTAGCTACTTAGGTCCAGTCGACTGATTTCTACTTGACGCCCAAAAATCTTGCTGTTCATGATCACCTGGCCGATTTCATAGGAACCAGTGAATTCACGCTGGAAGGGACGTTTAACGGGATGGACATTACGAAGATTGTCTTCTCAGACGGCATCCAGCAAGCGACACTTCTTGTCCGCAACAGCACCGATGGTATGTGCTACCCTGATTTCTAGATAGTTAAGTGTGTTAGTTGTAGGCCCACGATAATGGCCGCATTTTCCGACTCTGACCTCAACATTTCTCACACTTTTGGACCGTTGGATTTGGTTGCGTTCGAAGTTTGGTGAATCTTCAGACACTAATGACTCAATAAATTCTGCAGCATCGAGATTAACTACCGCGTCAAAAACCTTTTCGGCATTTTTAGATATGCCAAGTAGAATTTGAGGTGATTTTTACCAAAAAGTTAATAAAACAGAACAAGATTTTGCGTCAGAATTTAATAGAGTAGCACGCAGATGGTTGTCAGTCCTACCAAAACCTCAAGAAAGCCACCTATGTACGGTCTACTTGTGACGAATAACTCACGTAATCTCGGTTCGAGTTGTTAACTATAAGAATACAAAAAACAGGGAGTGTTACAGCAAAAACACGTGTTTTACGAAGGGCTTGGCACAACTTCATGCCAATTTGGTTGGCCGATATTCCCCCAACTGATCGTGTGAATAGCGTTGCTTTCTTTTTCAACAAATCGAAAGGCGAGTTGCTGTGGATGTCGTGGATGTTTCAAACCTTTTTGTTTTGTAGAAGAACCCCCGGTCTTACCACGGGCGGTAATGACAGAACCACCCATTCTTGAGGTAACAGACTACAAAATTGCTGGACCCACATCAATCTCCCTGCCATTCATTACCAAGGTAAGCACGAACTATCATTTGATGCTAAAAAAATAACTGGTGATGCAAACGAATGCACTTGAATGCTGACCTCAAGAACCAGGACGTATCATCAGTAATAATGGTGCTTTAGCCGGTATAGAATCCTTCTAGAGGCATCAGACAATTTTAGTGTTATTCAACAACCATCAATTACCAGCATCTTGATTTTGCCATGAGTGACAGTTGACTCTGTCTGCAATGTACTCTTTGCATTTGCCATGAAGTCCACGATGACTAAACTGCTAATGCACCACGCTGAAATAGCCATTCATTTAGCATTGTCATCCATGTGAAAACCACGACGTGGACATTCCGCGGCTGTTTTATTGGTCTTTCAAGACGTACACTGGACCAATCAGAGCACAAACAAATGTTAACGCATTTAGCAATAAAATGTGTTTGTTTGTAAATTTGTTTAACGCAAACCTTCAATAGACCGTTGGCAATATTATTGTAGGTTAGGACATTCATATTCTTAAAAACTTGCTCGTTACCTTAATTATTTTACATTTTACTTATTCCATGTTCTCGTATCATTTTTCAAATTGATAAATTCTAGTTAGTCAGATTTCGGTGAATGATTTTGTTCACGCAATGCAATGCATTTTTAAAGTCAAAACTTACCCATAAAACTCAACCTATTGTCAAAAAAGAGCGATGCTGACTCAAAATTCCGTATTTTTTGTGCAAATCAAACAAAATGCTTCATTTCGACTCTCAAAAAGCCAACTTAAGTAAATGGGTAACTCAATAAATTGCGATGACTTCAATTTAACGTTTATTAGAAGGACTGGTCGTTAGTCGAAGTAGTGAAGTTGAGGATTTCCGTAAAAAAAATTAATCGAGGATGTTCGAACCTGAAGAATGTCCATTGAAAGGTTCTGCAAACTTTAGATCTGGATTAAAATAATTCTTTTTTTGGCAAAATTTTGAACAATTTGGGACCTCTTGAATTTGAATCGCTGACTAATCAGTTCCATTTTGGCGTGGGACCTCAGCAGTCTGCAAACTCATGAACTGGATTTGAATCCAAGATCAGAATTTGACATTAAGCATCTTCATTTAACTTCATTATTCATAACACAAATTTTGGTTTCCGTTCATTTTAAAGAATCCAACTGCAACAGCTTTCGAGTCGGGCAAAACAGTAGCCAATGTATTTGGGCTGCCGACCTACGACGACTGCAAATTCAACTATGTCTGTGTTACGAAAACGGGCGGTACGTCTTAATCTGTTTTCATTGTCCATTCTCGCGCCGTGTACATGTTAAAGTCCGGTCGTGTTGCAGTTATAAGACAAGATTTTTGTGGAAAAAAAACACTGATACAATTAATTGCCAGCCATGTTATTTCCCTGCACGCAACATTAACTTAAAAGCCCGTGAAGTGTGCGTGCTTCCAGCGACCGCAGCATCATCACATGGGATTATCAACAGGTCGTAAATTGTGTAGACATTGAATGTTGAACGAATGTTTTGTACCAGAGAGTTTTAAGAAAAAAGAAGATCGAGGCAAAGGTAAAAATTCAAATCGACTTGTTTGTCCAAGGCTTTTGGCTGCTCGAAACGCGTGATTTACCAATCCGCATCATCTGACACGGCAAAAGATTCACACTGATGATGGTGATGCTGATGGCGAATTTTAACTCAATCATAGGATGCTTCTGGTTACTTCAGACGCAAACACAGACAACCAAATTTAACGAATAAAATGTGTGGGAGGCTGTAACAATGTTACAGAATGTCAGACTTTAAATTGCACGTTCAACTGTGAAATATCGCCAACATCAGGTGCATTGGAATGCAGACAATAGGTGAAGATGTTTAGTTACATATCTTGGGGTGAATTGGAGGCATTAAGTCTCATCGTAATTTTCGTTTATATGCCCTCATGTACCCTGATTCTGGCTTTAATCTACTGATACTAAATTAGTAATAAACGCCGGGGGGTCCTGTTGTTGTTAATTTGGCTTCTTTGGAGTACTTCAGTTTAGGGGTACTGAATGTACACTTCCGGCACATCACAATGAGTCTTCAAAAACCTACTTCTGAAAAGGAGGTTTCATCAACCACCCTCATTTTATGGACAAAATAGCCCAGAATATTGCGAAAACTCAAATCAAATATACTATAAGCTGTCAATTTTTTTGTCACGTGATGCCGTCTTTTTATAATATTGCACTGCCTGTTTACGGAGTAGCGAAAACGTATTTTGGCTTTGTTTGTGTCTGAAGACGTTCTAAATGGCAGCCATTTAGTAAACTAATGATATTTTTTTGGAGGAAAACACTCTGCTATGGCCTTTCGAAACCCAGCAAAAGCCTCGTTGTTGACTTTCAGACGTCAAAAGTCGCGTTTTTTTAATTGCAGGAAACAGCACAATCCACCTCGAGGGCATCATTACACGGTTTCCGACGACCTTCGAGGCCATAAGCATGGGCAACCCAAAATCCGTGGTGTTTATTTTTAACACGGCTAGAACACCAAGTTTATTCAACTGCGTTCTTGCATTAATGTGGTGTTTTTTGGCTGCACAATAGAAATGCATGCTGAAGTGAAGCCGACCTGACCAGCACACGGCGTCGTCATGCCTTCATGCCTTATCTGTCTACCACCAGCTCAGATGTAGACTTATATGTACAAAAATTATCCGTGTTTGTTTAAAAAAGTGTATGTGAACGACAAGCATCTACGTGTGGTTGTGCCTTTTTCTTCCAGGAACTTAGTTTGGCAAAGTAAGAGGTAAGAACTGCAGTGTTACGTTTGCCCGTAACAATAGAGGATACCACTCAAATAACGGTACCAGATCCCTTGCTGAAAGCTAGAACCGACCTTCCCAGGTTAATACCAGAACAAGACCAGAGCTCGAGTAGAGAGCTTTATTCACGTGAGCCACGTGCAGAGAAGAAGTGAAATCGAAAGTAATTTGAATGCTATCTCAAGTCAAGGTTGACCTTGACTTGATAACAGCGTAACAAAACAAATGCTAATAAATTAATGTAAATAAAATCAGAAACCAATCTTGGGGAATCGTGGATCCCCAACATGCAGTTAAAGTGTAAGTACAGCTTCAGGAAGATAGTAATTTCGATGTTTAGTTGCAGAATATGACTTAAATTTTTAAATACTAGCACCGTTGATTGATTCAGGTCATCAAAAGCTAATAAATGAGCCAAGTCAGACATCAGGACATTTTCATTGGTGGAACTTTGATTTTGCAAGGTCGAAATTTCATAGGAAAGTGTGCGAAATCACACTTTTAAAACGTTAAAATTAGTTTCCAAGAAGTACTGCAATGGTCAAACACAAATCTTTGGTTTTTTCGTTTTTTACCATTTTTTAACTGATTGCTTCCTGATCTAGATTCCTTAGCTCTTAAAGATAACGATCCACACGAATTGTGAAGTGTCTTGGTGATTTTTCAGGCCAATTCATCAACCTCTATTGGATGCAATTCTAACGTCGATGTTGTTAACACTGGTTCACCAGCCATGGATCGTGATCCGTTTTTATTAATGTTACTGTAATTGACTTTGAGTTTTTCACCGCAAGTGATGATTTGAGTGGAACAGAGGTAGTTGTATTGTTTTACAGCATTTGCCTTCACATCCACGTGAAATCTATACACTTGGCAGTTGCATGCGGATCGTATTAACATATGACATACATGTTGTCATACATAACTTTGCAAGGTCGACCCGAATGCTGGTCGTCTTTGAATGAAATATCACCGAAACAGCTTCACAAATGTGTTCTTTAAAGCATATAACAATAGTAAACACTTCGTCACCTGACAAGAAAACACATTAACCTGCAACCTGCCTTACTTGCAGCATCTACTAGGTGTTAAAGTAAACAAGTTTCATTGTATAACACCGGAAAACCAGAGTTAGTTACTTGCGAAGGCCTTGCAATGGCCAGATTTGCCTTCTGTGGATTTTGTCTCGCATCTAAGAAGGGAGGCATAAAAATCCGTTTTTTTTTCAGCGAACAGAAGTTTGCAGCTTTACAAAACGAATTTTGAGTTAAAAAAGAGATTTAAAGTAGCTTTCACAGTCAAGTTTAAGGGTATCAAGTTTCGCGTTGCCGGTTTTACCTGCCTTCCCACGATGCCGTGTTAGTGCACGTTTTCACATTTATTGCTAAGTTTCCCGTGATTCAGCTGGGTTTGGTTAATTCGACTGCGATAGATCAATCAGTGCTTCGTGGAAAGACTGTCTTGGAAATACATTCTGGTGTTCACACAGAGGTACATTTAACGGAACTAGTGAGATTTGAGAGCACCGATGATAAATTAGTTGATAGGCCTGAAATCCAGGCTAAGCATATATGTTTAACACGCACAATGTCCAATTATTTGAAGCATTTTCATCACTATTCACTGATCGTTTCGATGACAGTACTTACAATGGTCGTTGTGTAAAATCTATCCCAAAGTCAGACTGTTCTATTAAACCATATAACGTTGGCTAAAAGCTTGCAATTTTATCCAAATCAAGTGTGAGTCTGGAGGTCTTATTTCAAAGCATTTTGAGCATTTAACTTCGAAATGTCTTGTCAGTTGTTGCACTTAAGAAAATTCACCAAGCAAGAAAGTTTTTCAAGAAACTGCATGGCACCAACGGTGTTTCACGAAAGGATGGTAAACTCAGCTTGATATTTATAAGATGCTTTAGAGATACCGTTGAAGTGACTTGAAGCGATGCTCAGTCGGCACATCTTGTCACGTTTGGTTGAAGTTAATTCCCTAATTCTACGAGCCTGTTGACTACGAAATCTTCTTAAATGTCCTACTGGAGAATCGCTAATTTCCAGCCCGCAGAAGTATGGGTCGCCTACTGATGAAGCCCTCGACATGTGGCCTCAAACCACACCGGCGCCACTGATTTGTTTTGGATCGATAACGCTAATCAGATATCTGATAAGACAGGAAGAGTACCACAAACCACAGAGGCACAACCGTTCATTCGAAGCCTCAACGAAGTTGCGTTGACGTGTGCATCCAAGGTGGTCTATGACCAACGTGATTGTTGACCAATAGGGTCCGCGTGGACTAGTAAGAATACGAATTTTGAATGTTCAAATAAGTAAAAAGGGTGGTGAGGTGGCACGTGCGCAGAATGTGAAGAAACAGACGATCCCTCCTGATGAGCGCCTTTTGGCAAAGGAAAGGTGAGTCGGCGAGTCAAGGTGACAGAACGAATGGACCTAAATCAACACGGTTTGTGACGGTTCTCCTAGGAATTTCCCCAGGTTAAAGTAGTAATTCGGTCATAATTGTAAAACGACCATAGCCTGAAGGCAAAACTTTTTTCCCTTATCAAAATATCGTGGAAATGTGAGCCCAGTAAAGGTGCCTATGTTTACTCAGCAAACATTTTCGGCAGGTCCATGTCTGCATCGGCAAGAATTTCGATGAAAATCTGGCTAAATTTTATGGATCGTGGGAACGGTGATTCCATGTGGGAGGTGCGCTCTGAAAAAAATGCACAGACTATAGGCAAACATTTTGCCTTCATCCCTGTAAGCAAATTTTTCGCTTTTGCAAAAACAGTAGGATAAAGTGTTTTGACAGAGGTCAGGAACAGCGGAAAAACACGTTGTGGTGAATCTAGCACATTCGCCACCGTCACCTTGGCTTACACATGGGCAATAATGGTGTTTTTTATGTCGTCGGAGACCAGCATTCCGCAGGTGAGCCTAATTTGTGACACTGAGACTCGTGACTGTTCCATTTGCTTTGCTCTGTTCGCAAGATTGCACAAAAATTGCATCATATCCGTGTTCACGCAACCAGCTCCACTGGGAAGGTGGGGATTTGCTCCTTTGCATTACTTTCGTGAGCTCGTACTTTGAGCGTGTGTTTTCGGCTACCGGAGATGATATTCAACTTCTGTGAACCCCTTCACCGAATTTCTATCGACAAAATACGCTTATATATTTATACAACAGGCCCCGAGATGCTAACGTTCATCGTTTGACTTAATTTGTACAGCTTTTTTAGTAAATTTAGTTAATTTAAAAACTGGGCAACAGTGAACCTAATCCACCGTTTTCTTTGACCTTGCACCATCCACCGGGTAACGTGCTAATGCCGCTGCGAAAGAAACTTGCAGGCTTCGAGGTAATCACGTTATTGACAAATTTACGCACATCGTTTCGAAAAAACACGGCTTCGGCACCAACCCCACTAAAATTTGAATTTCGTGCTTCAGAAGCACTTTTTCCTTGT